CCACCATCTTTGATGCATATGTATACATTGTATTTATGTTTTCATATTGTATACTTTAATGTTTTTATCTTTTTTCATTTTATATGAAGGCGTTGTACATCTCATTGTACTGTGTCCAATGGCAATAAAGGAATTCAGTTCATTTCGATTCAATTCAATTAGCTTTAAGCTTGGATGCCACTAGAACACATCTAAAATGGGAAAGAGCTGTTGTGCAAGTTATGTTTTTACAGACAGCTGAAAACTAAAGAAAGGAGAAGCAAATCAATTGCTGAAATCTGTAGAAACAACTGGAGTTCAAACTCTGAAACGTGGATTTGTGGTTGTCATATTGTGTCAGTTATGTGGAATTTTCTGGTAAAATCATACCTTAAGTTATATACTGTACTGACTATTCATCACTTAAATAATTAGCATCATTCATTTATATTCTGTGCAACTATAAAGTTGTTGTCAGCATTTATTTAATAACATCCATGATGATGAGCCTTTTGTTCTACAAACAAAGTGGGGGATTATTAGATTAAGTGTTGATAACGTTATCTTGCCAAGTCAAACCCAGTTTTCCTTATAAGAGCTGTAGCAACCAGCAATGTAATAACTGCCATTAATGAAAGAACTGCCAATAATGTAAAAAAAATTTAATGCAAAAAAAGGCTGAAAACGTAATAATGGCCAATAATGTAATACAATTTCTGACTCAAAAACACCACATCATTGCCCAGTTATTACATTATCGACGTACATGTTATTGGTTTCATTCACAGTAGTTATTACATTGTTGGCTGCTACAGGCGCTGCTCCACAAAGCAAATTTAAAGCCGAATAAGTTTAAAAGTTTCTTCAAAGTATGTTGTCAGGAAACCTGATTCCTGGCCACATGGCCCACTGTTCCTTTGTTAAGTTGTACAGATCCCTGTCAAGGGGAAATGACATCAATGCATGTCCGCTGTAGCTAGAAGGATCAAATCATGACAGGTGACTGGACTAGGCAGACTTTATTAAAAAAAATTAAAATGACAGCATGGCAAGGTAAGTTCTGGCTGGCTGGTGGCAGTCGCTGGTGTTTTCACTCTGGTTCATTGTCTCCTGTTTAGATTAGTTTAATGGTTTAGTTTGGAAATGAAAGGCTAATTTATGGCCATTAATTCACAATCACTTCAGGAATGTCAGATTAAAAGGTGAGCTTCAGTGAGTAGTGTTGGTTCACTATGTTAGAGTTATACAGTGCCTGACAAAAGTCTTGTCACTTAACCAAGTTGTAGGAACAACAAATAATAACTTGACCTGTAGTTAATCAGTTGGAATCAGAAATGGCTTATAAGAAAAGGCAAAGCCCTCTAGATTATGCTTATTATACCAAAATAAAGTTTTGCATCATTCATTGAGTTTTGTCATTTAATTAGGACAGAAAGGTCAACTTTTGACTGGACAAAAGTCTTGTCATATACAAAAATAATGTAGAAATTATACATATACTTCATTTAGAATACACAAATATGCTACAATAACATCAGAACATAAAGTCATGGTGCCTTGGAAAAAAAAATTAATAATGTGTATGACTCCCATGAGCTTGGAGGACTTGCAGAATTTGCCCCCTCTTATGGTTTGGAATGTAATGGGCAACAGGAATGTCTTGATACTTCCGGCTGTTGATGCTGCCATCCATTCTGCAGATCTCTCGAACACCCTCATGGATGTAACCCCAAACCATGATTTTTCCTCCACCAAACTTGACTGTTTTCTGGGTGAATTTTGAGTTCATGCGAGTTTCAACAGGTCTCCTGCAGTATTTGCGGCATTTGGTATGTAGTTCAATGGATGATTCGTCAGAAAAATCAACCTTCTGCCACTTTGCCACTGTCCATCCTTGCTGCAAGCTGTGGGCCTTGNCGAAAGAGGCACATTACCTGCATTGTGAGGGAGTCTCGAAAGAGGCACATTACCTGCATGGTGAGGGAGTCCTGAAAGAGGCACATTACCTGCATGGTGAGGGAGCGTCAGTTACGGCACTACAGCCATGTGGCGCATTTCCCTGAGGGCGGTCCGGCTCGCAGGATCCTCACTGCTGAGGACCCGAGCGGCTTGACCAGGCCAAGGGGACGCTCACATGACACCTGGCTGCGGCAGATAGACGGCCATTTCCGGAGGGTGGGACTGAACTGTGTGTCAGCCTGGGGGGTCGCCAGCTGGGATCCTGAGGTGTTTTGTTGTGTGGTGGGTGCGGCAACGCGCTGTACCAGTGCATGCTCCCCAACCTGACCAGATCTGACCGATATTCCAGATATTCCAGTCCAGAGGAGACACTTGTGTTTGTAGATATTACCAAAGACCCAGCAAGATACAAGGAAAAGATCTTTCAGTAGCTCATGTTATAAAGACAATCCATGGCTTCCATAAGCAACCACAGTACGTTTTTTATGCCTGCAGGCATTTTTTTCTCTAGCAGGTACAAAGGAAGGATACTTACATACGAATCTGGGTTTTCTAACTGGAAAAATGCTCTGTTTAGAGATGCAGACTTTAAGCTACATGCCAAATCAGAGACCAATATCAGTGCAGTATATGAATAGTGAGGTATCAATGTTAGCTGCCATGATTGAAGACCGGGAAAAAGAAGTTGAAGGAAATTGCAATTATGTAAAAATAATTGCAGATGTGTCTTTTATTGCCACACAAAACATAGACAAAAATGAGAATTGGTACTCTTGAAAAACATGGCCTAGAATACAGGGATACCCTGGGGGGGCAAAGGTTACGATGGTGCTCCATGAGTGGAAAGCGCTCAGGTGAGTCTGTGCGGGTTATAGGGTCTGTTCCATTTGCATGCTCTGTGCATTGCAGTGCGCAGTGCTTGAATTTGGTTCTTGTTTATGCAGTGAGATGCAGTGTCTGAGGCAGACAATTTCTTTTCTCTGCAGAAGATCTACCACTTTGTATCTAGTTCCTATGTGCATCTGAAGTGGCTTGCAGTTCACAAAGAAATGTATCCACTACAGCAGCCCAGGGAAACGTCTTATTGGTACAAGGTGGGCATGCAGAAGCATGGCATGCTGCACTGTGCCAGACAGACGTCCTGCAGCTGGTATAGGACTGCAGGGTATCAGTACTGAAAGATCAGTGAAAGCGAAGGGGACTTGTTCAGACAGATGTTAACATCTTTGGGCTTTTGGTTAACTTGTGTAAAGTCTTTGGTCATGCTAAATATCTGTCAGATATGCTCCAGTCCAGCCCTCCGGGGCTTTCCAAGGGATTGGAATTAGTAGATACCGTGACAGACACACTGTAACATTTCAGGAGTGAAGGTTACTTTGAAGAGCTGTGGAAAGAGAATACCTTGCTGAGCCCTGGGAGAGAACTGATCAGGCTGTATATAAAAGACAACCAGAAACCAGCTCAAACTTTGGGGCACAGTAATGACCACAGTGATAGTAAAAGCTTTCATCCTTTTATCCGGTGTTTGACTGCTGTACAGCAGGCATCGTGAGATGTTTTACAGAATAACTGTAAAATAACGCAAGGTGTCCAGTCTTTAAACCCAAAGAGTAGCACCTTTTTAGATGAGATGCCTCTATTATCATTCGCTGAAAACTTTGAGTCTAATTTAGAGGATCGTAACCATGAAGTTTATCAGACCAAGCGACTGACTTCTGGATCGAAAAAAGAAGAATGTAATGGAAAGACTCTTTACCCTAATCGACTTTGTCATGTGTCCAGGGTATTTTAAAGAGAGTTTTTCCCAAGCTATTTCAACTATGTAAGACTGCAGTTGTTCTACCTGTCGGCTTTGCTTCTCCAGAGAAAAGGTTTTCAGCTTTGAAAACAATAAAAGCCCATCCCAGGAGCACTATGGCTGAGGACCAGTTACTGTAAGGAAATTAGCAATCCTCAGTGTAGAATCTAGCAGAGCAAGTTCCCTCAACATGGAGGGATTTGTTCAAGGTTTTGCGAGCTATCATCAGAACCATCGACTTACGCCCTGCTAATGCCGTAATGTTACCACCGTGCCGTCTGAGCTGAGAATTCTCTTGCCTGCTGTAACTGATAATGTTGACATCTGTAACAGATGGTTCACCTCGCACTGCATTGTCATAAATGAAAAGAAATATAATTTGGTGTGTGGAACAATGTATGTACATTTTGCCTGTGATACAAAATTGCATTTATAATTAAATATGATTCAAGTGTTTAGTTTTACCTTGACTTAAGTTTGTATCATCAGTAAATATACTTTTGATGAAGTACAGGTTTGTATTTTTGGTCTTTGATCCCCCCCCAAAACAGCTTTGGCCACCCCATTTATACATTTCCAGAACTGGGACTTTTAACGGTTTAAGTGTCGCTAGCAGTACCGCCTTTTACATGCCCGACAATCCTGAATGTACGTTATGACAGAAATAAGTGGCGGCGTAATTATTAGGTTATTAATATACCCAAAAAGTCTTACGCTGTGCCACTGAGCCCGTGTCCATTTCCGCCTTGACAGCTTCCGCGTTTGATAGCAAGCTCATAATTTCCTGTCTGTAAATGGAAGTATATGTGATTTAAAGTTGGAGTCGCCATTTTGTCACGAAACAGTTAAGACCTAAAAAACTATAAAGTTATTTTTCATTGCCAGGTAAGATCACATGGGGATTCCGATATAAATAATAATAAAGAAAGCATGTTTAACGTAATTATATACTGGGATTATACCTCCGTGCAATACAGTAAGTAATTTGCAGGAGTAAAAATGACAGTATACTTTAAGTTTTAGAATGTAAAGTGAATTAAGGCAACAATGAAATTTAATGACGCTCAGTTCGCGTAATATGCAGTATCGCGGACTGTGGCCAGTAACATTTTCGGGGGGGGGGTCACTTTCGGTAGTGATAGACAGAGCTTCACAGTGGATGGATGTCTGCAGCCAGACCCTTCTCGCTCCACGCCTTAACGCGGGTGTTTGGGCTTGGGGGGGGGGCTGCATGGCTGGTTCTGGGAGGTTCAGGTGGATAATTTCTTTTGTGATCATGTAGACTTTGGCTGGCCAACCCTGCTCCTGAAGATACACCGCTCTGCAGCCCTAATTTAACACCATGATACAGATAATCGGGGCTTCAGTAGCATCTCAGTATTGGAGTCGGATATGTTGAAGTAAAGCTGCCTCTAACCTAAGCTTTGCAAGGTGGTTCATGTCCAGGAACAGGGATGGGGCAGCCCAGATGTAATTTACATTTATGCTATGAAATATTATTTATCTGTGGCTGATGCAGCTGTGTGTTTTTAGGCTGTATTGTTTATATTTCGGGATGGTTTGGATTTAGTTTGTTTAATTAGCCGTTCTGTTGCTAGCACTAAACGTTTTATATATCCTTTATTTGCAAATTGTTAAAAAAAAAAAAAGTCTTAAACAGTGACTGGAATGAACAAAAACCTGTAAGCGGTGTTAAGTGATTTCCGGTGGAGACGGAGCTGTAAGTTTCTGTTTTTCTCTCTGTGTTTCTAAAGTTTGCTTGGAATGTTTTGTGCATGATCTTTTTGTAATATCGTATGGTTTTTTTGTGTGCAACAGCGAACCATGGTTGTATTTGTTTAGCCGTATCTAGATATATTTATTTCTTATGTTGACAGATTTGTAAGCTTTTTTTGTAACCATGCTCTTGTTCCAAGTGTCTAAAGAGAGAAACATTTCAGTTCAGAGTAAAGAACCCCAAACGTAGTTGTCCCGAGTTTTATTTTAAATCCAAGGCTACATACAATACTACGGAGCGCCTAAGGGGACAAAGGAGGAGGAAAAAAATGGCAGAAAAAAAAAGAAATCATGTTTTGCGTTATAACCCAAAACCGTTGCGACATAAGGCAAAACTGTTGTGACTAAACCTCTGTGCCTGTGATTAGAAGATGGCCAATTCAAGCCCACTCTCAGTACATCTGCAGGTCCTTGAGCGAGGCCCTTAACCCCCAGCTCCATGGTGCTGCTGTGGGTGGCTGCCCTTCACAGCCTGCCTTCTCTCACCTACAGAGAGCAAGTTGGGGGAGGCGTAAAGAGAGTTTCCACAATAAAGTATCTATTATTGTTTAGTTAATGTTTATTATTAGTGGATAATACTTAATTTTTTATAAAGTTGAGTATTGTGAAATAAAACTGCAAAAGTTAAAAAAATTAGTTAGGTAAATGTGTTTTTTATGTACTACTCATTTAAAACTATTGGTTGATTAACTTGAAAAATTTGAGGAAATCAGTCTCCTCAAAAGTTTTTAGTTGACTGAACCTAGACGGGTTTACAGTGCAGACATACTGTAAAATGTATTAGAGTAACAGAATGAAGACCCCAGTGTGTTTACTCAATGTAAAAGTGCTGAGTATACTAGATATTGTTTATTTATGTATTTATCAATTTACCCTTCATGTTCACAGAGGCCCCAGCGGGAATCACCTGGTGTGGATCGGCACAAAAATGAGAAAGAAGAGTAGAAAAAGAGCTGCTTCTGAAATGAGCCCTGAGAGGTAACAGTGTTTTATATATATATATATAAGTGCTGTCAAACGATTAAATTTTTAAATCAGATTAATCACAGGGTTGCTGTGGATTAATTTAGATTAATCACAATGAAATGTCATTCATTTTAAATCTATATTAATCACATTTCATTTTGCATGAGCAAAACAAGAAAAAAGGGAATATATATGCACTTAACGTGTTTATTGAACATCATGAACACGAGTCGGATGCATTCCATCTGTCACAGAAGTGCAATACCATGGACCCATATCAAAAAGCAAGATTTTCTGCTTAGCCGGACAACTTGTCGGATTTAAGGTACCTCAGTTTAAATGGTCTTTATCTTCGTTCATTTACAATTAGCCCGAACTACCGTAATTCCGACAAATAATCCGACTAATCATGAAATCCAATTCTAGCCTGGTTAATTGCCATTGTTAGCAATATCAGTTGATAACACACTACGCGCGGTGCTTTACGTATAAAGCTCCGTAGCAACACATCCACAGATAAGTTGGACGGTATAGTGTGTGCGACCGATGTAATGAGCCACAAATGAGAAGTAGTGTTTAAACAGTATAAAACTACAACGTCCCTTTCTGTTGATAAAGGGCACAGCCATCTTGGATTCTGAACTCAGGATCCTCTCTGCTGCTCCGAGATATTTCTCAGATCTCCGAGAAACGGGAACACGCATTCACATTTCCGGCTTCAAAACTTGGAATCCGACTTGGAATACGAGTTCCGGGGGCAAATGGAATGCACCAAAACTGCCCGAAATGGGTTGACACAGACAGATTGAGCGCAGATGGATTAATTGCGTTAAAAATTTAAATCAGATTAATTATGATGATGGATTAATCTGCGTTAACCCGTTAATTTTGACAGCCCTAATATATATATATTTATATATTATATATATATATATATACACACACACACACATATATACATAGGCCACTGTGCAACGCATCTTTTTACTACAACACTAAAAATAATTTGTAATCTGTTGGGAAGTTGATTTAATATCGGACTGACGCAACACATTCTCATAGCAGCATTCCCAGAGTGCACATCATTAATTTTCTGAGCAAATTCGGGTAAAATAAATTGTTTAAGAAATGATTTATTAAAGATGTTTTAATTCGAACTTTGCTGAAGCTTCCTTAATTATGTTAAAGTTGCTCCACGCTTTATGATTATTGGTGAAACATATACCCTTTATTATTATTGGTGGTACATGCTCTGAACCTGTTTGTGCACCCCCAAAAGGTGCCCAAGGGCCTCATAGGACCATGATCTGGCCCTGCCTGAAACAGATAAGCTAGTTTTTCCACCTCTTACATCTTCTTCTTCGCTACTGTCTCAAGTGGTTCCAGGGTCAGTGCTGTGGTGGAGCTGACCTTCCTGATGGGTTTGTTCAGGGTCAGTCCTGTGACAGAGCTGGCCTTCCTGATGAGTTTGATCAGGGTCAGTCCTGTGATGGAGCTGNCTGTGAACATCAGGACACTTTTTGACTGTTTCATTTTGCACCCAGTTATTAATGTGAAAGTCCTTGGCATTAAATTGATCCATTCATTGTAACAATTGGTTGATTAGAAATAAAGTTATACGCCTTTTTAAGTTATTATGTCCTTATGTGACAAGACTTTTGTCAATGACTGTATCTTTTCAGATGAGGAGCCGCTAAACTCCTGAAGGATAATCACTGCTGCTGGTCTCTCCCTTACTTATTACTTCCTTACTAATTACATGCAAATAGATGGCTGTAGAAAACAACATTTTGATTTCCTTTCTGCAGGCTGTCAGGCTGTAGAGTCACAGAAGAAGGCTATTCTTTCCTGGCTTCAGCTCTGAGGACAAACCTCACAAACCTGACAGAGCTGAATCTGGTCTACTATCAACCAGGAGACTCACGTGTGAAGCTGCTCTCTGTTGTACTCAAGGATTTCAGCTGTAAATTGGAGATGCTGAAGTGAGTGCAGAATAAGCATTTTACTATAAACTGGACACCAAGAAAACCCATAATGCATTTCAACAGGGACATAATAACCGCAAACAGATTCTTCTTCTACTTCCTTATATCTCATAAAATTATCAGCCTTCGATCCATGTTAAAAATAATTAATCAATGAAGCAGGAAACAGCCATTCATTCTTAATATGCATGCAGAAGATTTGCGTAGGTTAGCAGAGTTAATTGGATTAAAAAAAAAAAAAAAGATGGTACTGTTGTGGTTAAACATGCTGACTTTAATATGCTTGGGGATAAAAATATATTAGGCACCAGCCAATACGGGGATGACTGTTAAAACAACTTTTAGTAAATTATTTATTTATTTATTTTATTGTAATTTCATATGACAACTGTTCTTATTGGAATGCAGTGCTCCACTACAAAAAGTGGACCAGTGTGGAGTCACAAAACAATGCTGTCCGGTTTTGGCCTCAGCTTTAAAATCAAACCCCTCACTCCTGAGAGAGCTGAGCCTGAGCCACAATGACCTGCAGGATTCAGGAGTGAAGCTGCTCTCTGCTGGACTGGGTTTTCCACACTGTAAACTGGAGATACTGAGGTTAGTATTACTAGGTAATCCACACTGTAAACCGGGAATACTGAGGTCAATATTACTGGGTATTCCACACTGTAAACTGGGGATACTGAGGTCAGTATTACTGGGTATTCCACACTGTAAACTGGAGATACTGAGGTCAGTATTANGATACTGAGGTCAGTATTACTGGGTATTCCACACTGTAAACTGGAGATACTGAGGTCAGTATTACTGGGTATTCCAGTCAGATGAGGCAGTCAGATGGGGGTGTTTGCCAGCTCTCTTCTCTACAGGCTTCTGGATGTTAATCTTTCCCAGGCTGGTCTCCTTGCCCTTGACATCCCTACCAGGCCTCATCCTCACTGCCATCAGGGTCTGCTTGGGGCAGGACTGTGAATGAGGGAGGAAAGTGGTGGACAGGAGGAGACTGAGGCTGCTGCCTGACCTCAGATCTGGGCTCACATAACATGACACTATCAATTTATTTATTTGTACATTTACTGCAATTCAGTTTCAAAGCACAATTCCAGTTGTTTCAGACAGTGTACAGTTGTAGCATGGAGTGAGTTTAAAGACACACGGGCAGCGATGAGTGACTGGACTGAAGCCTCAGTGAGGCAGACTTGGTAAAAAATAAAAATGAAAAGTTGGGGATGGCTGGTGGCAGTCAGCGGCATCTTCATTCTGGGTCAGCATCTCCTGGGTGTGAGAGACAGGAGACATGAGGTCTGATGTCTGTTCCCAGCTGAGGTGGGAGGAGAGAAAACATAACAAAATGAGCTCAGGGCAGGTAAAGTGGAACAGCCGCTATCTGGGGGTCACAGGTGAA